ATAAACCACCTTTTGCGCGGCGCGCTTCGAGGGGTAGTCGACTTTGGGCGCCCAAAAGTTTCTTACAGCGCGAATCGCGGTCTCTCTTTCTCGTGTCACTAATAGAAGGTCGAGCTATGTGAAGTACCCAAAAGTTGAATACGATTTTATGCCGGGATTTTAGCGAAATCTACCAAAATGTGAATTACGAATGAACGGGACGCGGAACTGTGTATCGACAAAGGGAATGTGGTAACCCCCGACGAGATCTTACTGATGGTGGAGTCGAAACTTCAAATCCGAATTGTTGCGGGTGATCAGAAGTGGGTGTCGACAAAGGGAATATGGTAACCCCCAAAGGATTTTAATGATGGTGGAGTCAAAACTTCAAACGCGAATTGCGAGTGCACGGTAAGTGAGAAAATGGTACCGACAAAGTGAACGTGGTAGCTTTCGGCAAGATCTTATTGATGGTGGAGTCAATATTGGCTAATAAAACACTGATCTGCCACACAAAAATGCGCTGAAGTCCCTTCGATCGCACACGAGGACTTTGATCATTTTTTTTATAAATTGTGAGTGATAAATAACATTCCTGTTATAAATTAATCCATTTCAAAACTGTTATAAATGTATTGTTAGTTAATTGCGAGGTTAATTGTAAATAAATAAATCACGTCAATTTACGCTACAGAATTGAATAATAGCTATTTATGTTACAAGTACGTAATCTATGACTTTATTGGACGAGTCGAATTTATTGGCAGAGCGCGCTTGCGCGCGAGGCCAATAAAAAAGACGAGATAATAAAGTCTGATTATGTACGAGTAACATACTTAGCTTTATGTTCGACTCGGAAAATGTAGTTCATGTATGTATTGAAAATTTGCTGAAATTTGGTATAGATTTCACTATTTAATAACCAGAAATAACATAGTGTGCCTTTTGTGTTGTCATAGATACGTGTTGCTTGCAAAAAAATCTGTTGATGTGTAGTGTCAATTTTGTTGGGTATTAACTAATTCTCTGTACCTCATCTGTTGTATACAACAATTAGCCTGCAATGCCAGAGAGATGCTTTTACCAAGCAAATCAAAAACTGTATACGAGGCGGCATACAGGGAATACCCCCTACTGGGGGAAGAAAATCCAATTGCACCACGGAAGACTGTATATTGGCGTCCTTTAATAGGTCTCCTATAAAAGTTCTTCTTTATGGAGCAAGTACTCGATGTTACGATCGACAATTAATTTAAATGAGGGAGTGGATATACCTATAAGCAAATTTTCCAGCCTAATTCCTTACCTCAAAAGAAAAGGAGATTCTGACAGAGATCTGACAATTCTAAAATTAGTGTTGCCAGCAAAATTTTGGGAACGGAAACCGTTATGGCAAATTCTTCGTTCATAATTTTAAAAGCCGTAGAGACCACCGAAATATTGCATCAAAAAGGTACATCGGTAATTAACATTACCAACAATAACAACTGTGTTATTAACATTAATTTAGTATAATTATTGAAATGTATAACATAGATATGTGTTCTTAAAATTATAGCATTCTGTTCCGTGTACTTCTTTAAAACAGATCGTAATTTTAAAACGCATTTTCCAAAGAAATTGACAGTGACAGGAGTCCAAATTACTTTATCATTATGGACTAGTCCAATAAAGTAGCAGATTATGGACGCTAAACAGTGTCATAACTCAGCGTATTATGATCGAGTCGAACATAAATACATTTTTTTGTAAAATCGGGACTCTGGTAAAGAAGACAATTATGCACCTGACATAAAAGAATACAGAAGCAGAAGAAATAGAGAAGAACGACAAACAAGAAAGACAATGAAAAAAAAAGAAATAGCAACCACGAAAATATTGATGCAGGAGGAAACGTTGCATCCAATGGCATTGTCACGCCCCAAAAATCATTATCCAAACCTTCATCCAATGTAACCACCCCTATTTAAAAAACTTATTTTCTGAAAACCGCCATTTGACGACAAAAAGAGCAAAACTAGAAAGTTAAAAAAAATACTTGCTGTATATAGCTCACAATAGACAAAAGAAATGCAAGAAAAAGGTAGAAAACAGAAAACTGCCCAGAAATCGAGCCAGAAATTGATCATGTATAATTTCATCCATAAGAATAGTTTAGTGTAGAGTTCCGTAACTATGAAGTTTAAAAATGTTGTCGTACGTACCTGTTTTTTGGTACCCAATCACCTACTGTTGTTTGCATTTTGTTGCAAACATGTTTATATGGATATAGCACCAGGGGTGGTGATCTCGTGAGGAGTCAGTACCTCAGGTTGCAACCGAGGTTGCAACGTAGCAGATACGGAGCAAATTATTATAGTCCCTGCTTTTTAAATAAACTGCCTACAGACATGCTCCCATACACGATTTTTAAACACAATTTGAAAAGTTTCTATTGAGCAAAAGTTTTTACCTCGGTTTTTACTCAATAAATGAATTTTTCTATTTCGGTGTCACAATGATGATTTTGTACAACTGTTTTCGGCCGAAAACAGTTGTACAAAGACAGTGATTATAGTCGTTTTTTTTTGTAACTAATCTCTTAAGTTGGCAGTTACTATTTAGTACAAGTAGGTACTTCGTTGGGTACTTCCATGTTTGAACTTCAAAATGTCAGTCTTACTACGCTGCCAACCTAAAACTTAACGGCATAAAAAGTGTTCCCAACATAAAAACATGTTAGTTCTAATGTTCCCTATAGTTTCTGATAATGATTTTTTTAATTAAATTAAAGCACCGAAATAGAAAAAATAGTATGAAAACGCGTGTTACAATGCTTTATTGTAATACTTCTATCTTGCGGACACTCGTGGCTACGCTTCGCGTCGCCACTCGTGCCACAAGATAGTCGTATTACAATAAGTCGCATTGTAACACTTGTCTTTCAATATACTATTT